AGAATTCACCACTGAGCTCAGTCCTCAGTCCCACCTCCAACCTGGCCTTGGGGCACCCTCCACCTCCACCCCTTACAGACTAGGATACCTGAGCCCTGGGCTACGGGAATAGAGGTTGGGAGAGCAAGATGGCAGCTTGAGGGTAGGAGAGAGGTCATCTGGCCCATAGATCATGCACCACTTACCCACTCAGCGGTCTCATTTTCCTAATTTCAAAGAACTGGGTCCCTGTGTGATTATATCTGTGTAAAGTATGTAAAGGGAAAGTGACAGAAAACTCCAAAGGTACCAGTAATGTGGCAGAGAAAGCTATGCATTCTGATTTCTCAATGAGATGAGGATGTGAGGGCTTTTCAGAAGTCGTCAGTACCCGGAAGGTAGCCAGTAGCCTCTAACTCCTCACTATCTTGCCCTGGAAATCTAATTTCTAACTTGTGCTTCAAAGTACCACAGACCTTTATACTAGCTCTTTTCAATCTGCTCTGTATTCTGGGTAGTTGAATATTTGTCTTAATTCACCTAGTAGACTACAAGCTCTTCAAGAGTTGGTACTATTCTTCTTTAAAAAAACAATTTTTTTAAGACACGAGCTTTCTATGTTGCCCAGGCTTGTCTTGAATTCCTGGGCTCAAGTGATTTTCCTGCCTCAACCTCCCAAGTAGTAAGTATACACCACCATACCTAGCTAGAACTGTTCTTTCATTATCTTTGTATCACCCATAAAACCTGGCAGAAGGCCAGGCACAGTGGCATATGCCTGTAATCCCAACACTTTAGGAGGCTGAGGTGCGTGGATCACCTGAGGTCAGGAGTTCGACACCAGCAGCCCTGGCCAACATGGCGAAATCCAGTCCCTACTAAAAATACAAAAACTAGCCAAGTGTAATGGCATGGGCCTGTAATCCCAGCTACTCAGGAGGCTGAGGCAGAAGAATCACTTGAACCCAAGAGGCGGAAGTTATGGTGAGCCGAGATCGCACCACTGCATGTCAGCCTGGGCAACAGAGTGAGACTCTGTCTCAAAAAAAAAAAAAAAAACTGGCAGAAACCCAACATACGCAAGTTAACAAATATTACTAAATGAATGAGGAATACATGAATGGATGGATGAATATATGGATGGATGGAAAGATGGATGGATGAATGAGTGGATGGATAGAATGGAAGGGCAGATGGGGATGGATGGAAGCAAGGATGAAAGGGTGGATTGACAGCAATAGGGCTTTTCTGTAGTGCACAGACTCTGTAGCAGGGCTTACTGTGGCGATGTCACTTTTTTCATGCCTGTGCTAGCACTTGGCATTGATTACTAAATCTGAGAAGCTGTACCATTATTGACTATCTGGGATTTAGCTGACTACCTAGAAGGTCTCAGGAACTGACCAGCTTGCACCAAGTTGTTCTGAAGGAGATGAAGAGTTTCCCGATGCTGTGCTCTCTGAGGGCTGGGTTTTTATTTATCTGAGTCTAGTGAGAAGTTGCTTTGTAGGTTTTGCTCTTCTGCCTCAAACAAAAGCCTATAGGAAAAGTGCACATCGGGAAGGTGCTAATGAAGCCTGAACTTCCATGCCCAGAGCTGCTGCAGGTCAGGTGGGTGTGGGAGAGTCAGTGGGTGCCCCACAGTGACAAGGGTGCCTGGAAACACTTTGATCCCTCCTTTTTGAAAAGGGCTGGGATTCCTCTCCTGGCACAGCTGTGCTTGGTCACTCAGACACGAGCACACATAACCCTCTGAAGAGCTCGGTATAAGAAGATTCTGGGCTCCAGCCCTGGAGAGTCTGACTTCAGGCCATGGTTCATAACCCCAGATGCTACTCAGAGTTACCTCACCTTAGATGACTGAGCAGGAAGCTCCAGGCTGAGGGGCTGGGGGACCTCTGAAGATCACCAGTTTGAGGGTTACTGACCTGGGCCGTAAGAACAACAACTAACCTTACAGGCTTGCCCAGTTTTTAAAGCATACAACATACAAGATCCTAGAGGTAAAAGACAAAAATGAAGGGCTAAATATTCTCATTGTGAAGCGATTTCTTTACCTCACCAAAAATTTATACAAGCAATGAGGTTCCTGGTACATAAAGTAGAATTCGGTTGGCAAAAATTCACTTCTATGCCCAACTTTCCTCTGCTCACATATCTAATTTATACATCTAGTGTATCAAGTGAGACAAGCATATAGTAAAATAACTTTAAAAAGTGTACCTGAGCGTCTTCTTTCAGCTCCTTAATCATTGAGCCCCCGAAAGTGGGCTGGGGAGAAGTCTGCTCTAAACATGCCCTGAGGGGGAGATACTCACTGAGCCTGAATTTGCTGTTAGAAGGCTTCTCCCCCCAATCCAGCAGAGCTCATGTGGCACCTCTCTCTCCAGAACCCCATGCAACACCAGCACTCCTGCTGGCTGCTGCTCTGAGGATGTCCAAGGGGAAAGCAGGATTCGTCCTTTTCTATCTCCACTGCCAGCTGAGCACATCCACAGTCAGGACTGACGCCAACCAGTCCCCATATCCTGGCACCTGTCACTGTGTCCAGGACAAAGCAGTAGGGAGTCCCAAGGAACTAAATAAAAGTCAGGTCAGCAGGTAGAAGAGTGGGTGCCCTGCCTTCCTCGTGCAGTGGCCCCAGTGGGCAGGGGGCCGGGAGCAGGTCCCCACAGCCTGCTGGTGCTTCCCTTCTCTGGCCCTCTCTGTAGTCAGTGATGCTGTTGGTCATTGACCTTTGCAGTCATAATGGGTCAGAGAAGAGAAAAATGGAAAAGCAGATCCTTCAGGGCAACCATGAAAAGGTGGCAGATAATGTGCTGACAGGTTTACAGCAGTGTGAGCAAATGATATGTAAAGCACATGCATATTTGCCCCATCAATGCATTCCCAGTTAGGCTAATTCTCTTAACTCTCAGCCAGATGATCCTTGTGAAGACCATGTCCTAGATAGAAGAGGGAAGCCTTAGGCCAGGTGCGGTGGCTCACGCCTGTAATCCCAGCACTTTAGGAGGCTGGAGTGGGCGGATCACAAGGTCGGGATATCAAGACCATCTTGGCTAACATAGTGAAACCCCATCTCTACTAAAAATTAGCCAGGCATGGCAGCGGGCACCTGTGGTCCCAGCTACTCGGGAGGCTGAGGCAGGAGAATGGCATGAATCTGGGAGGTGGAGCTTGCAGTGAGCCGAGATTGCATCAGCCTGGGTGACAGAGCGAGACTCTGTCTCAAAAAAAAAAAAAGTGGGGAGTCTTAAAGCCTATAATCAGTTGACTTTTAAGTTAAAAAAAAAAAAAGAGGTGGGAGGCATTCTAATTGCTATCACCTTCTAGAATAGTCTATGAGGAGTCAGTCACATCCAGAAAGGGCCAGCTCTTGGGTCCGGGTCTGCTCTGGCAGGAGTTGGTGCCTCGGGACCACATGGAACTCCCCATGTGGGTCCCAGGGTGGGCATCAGCACAAACACCAGACAGCCTTCCAAGGGCCAGGGCCGCCAGCCTCACTCCTGGAGACTGGCGCTACCTGCTCCTCCTAATATTGCCTTAGGATTTACTGGGAAGATGCCGGCTGGGGAGCTGATGATCCGTGAAGTGAAAACAAAGAAGCCAATCAAGTCATCTCCCGACCCAAATGAGCAGAAACTGGTATTTTCCGATCTAGTAATACCAAGCCCTGGGAGGGGGGGCGGTGCTAGTGTTTGGTCCCTGCAGGGAAGACACCAAAATCCACCCGGAAGATTTTTGCCATAACATAGAATGGACGGGCTTTTCTGGCACATGTAGGGCATGTGTGCAGTGTCCCCTGAAATCCTTTCTGCCTCAGGGCTGGGTATGGACAGACAAACAGGAAGCCGGTCAGTGTGCCCGGGACCTTGTAGAACAGGCTATGTTTTATACATTTATGGAGGAAGGCTAGCGGTCCACAGAAGCTTGACCTCCTGGACAGTGTGCTGGGGTCCAGCTTCCCATCTGACTCCTCTCTCTATAAAATGCCAGAAGGGGCAGGTGGACCATCCACTCCTGCCCCCCTGTCCCTACAGTGTTGCTCGTGGGAGTCCTCGGAACTGATCTAATCCTGACTACAAACAACCTGCAGATGCGGAGGAGAAACGGACCAAACCGGCTGGTCTGACCTCGGACTGAACCCAGTGAGTTTCTTAGGTCTTCCTCAAGCTCAAGTTGGGGGAGAGGGCCCCCAATTGTAGAAGCCCAACCATTCATGTAGAACTGAGCAGGTCACCAGCCTGGGTCACCTGGGGAAACAAAGGCAGCACCAGGTGGGCCTCTTGTAGATCATGAGCAGTTAGGTATGAGGGCAAAACAGAGAAAGAGAAAAGGAATGGAAGAGTAGGAGGGAAGAAGGCAATAGACAGTAAAGGGCTGGGTGTGGTGGCTCATGCCTGTAATCCCAGCACTTTAGGAGGCTGAGGCGTGTGGATCATTTGAGGTAAGTTCGAGACCAGCCTGACCAACATGGAGAAACTCTGTCTCTACTAAAAATACAAAAATTAGTCAGGTGTGGTGGCAGACGCCTGTAATCCCAGCTACTCAGGAGGCTGAGGCAGGAGAATCGCTTGCACCCAGGAGGTGGAGGTTGCAGTGAGCCGAGAGTGTGCCAACACACTCCATCCTGGGTGACAGAGCAAGTCTTCATCTAAAAAAGAAAGACACTGAAGGAGAACAGGAGGAGGGGAACAAAGATGACCAAGAGGAAGGAAGTGGAGAAAGAGAAGATAGAAGGAAGAGAGGTGCTCAGGGGAAAAAGGGAAAGGACAGGGAAGAGGAGGGAGAAAGAGAAGCCAGAGGGACTCAAGGTGGACCAGCCTGCTCCATTGGGTCACTGCAATTACATCCTCCGTGCACACTCTTTCTAGACTCCCACCTGGGGCATCCCTCCATGCCTGGCCTCACCAACCTTAGAGAGCTTTTGATGACCAGCTGGGGACAGATTTGCCACCAGGCTTGCGATCACCATGCCTGTCCCCTGGCTGGGTGTACTCAGACCTTGGTTGGAAGGATACTGTAGGGTCTTCATGTAATTCTGGATCGCCTGGAGCCAGTCTGGGATCGTCATCGAGAGCCTGTAGTTTGGGACCTGGGGTATTGAAGGCTGCAGAGAAATAGAGAAGAGGAAGTGTTTATTAAGGAGGCGCTCTGGGGCCCAGCTTCTGGGGACAGGCAGCGGGCTGAAGCCACCAGAGAGAGAGGTGCTCCTGAGAGCCAATGGCAACATGGTCACCCTGGCGTGGCCACCTGATTGAGCAGTGCCTCCTCCATGAGGTCTCCCGGGAACAGTGAGTCCTTCATTGACGCTCTCCCTCTCTGAGTTCCCTCTGAGTCATGGTGGTTCTCTATGGCCCTCCGTGCTGTGTGAATACAGCTTTCTTCCCTGCAGGAGCCTAACACCTCCTTGAGGCAAAGGACCACGTTCTATCGTGTCCCCCGCCGAGCCTGGCCTAGGACGGGCATGAAAGCACTTCATCAATGATTGCATAACACCTTTTGCTGCGTGGCCAGTGGTGATCCACTACAAGTGCTCTACTGCAGGGCCACATTTACACAGAATATAAAGTGAATGGATGCCGGGCGCCGTGGCTCACGTCTGTAATTCCAGCACTATGGGAGGCCAACACAGGTGGATCGCATGAGTCCAGGAGTTCGAGACCAGCCTGGCCAACATGGTGAAACACCATCTCTAAAATTTAAATAAATAAATAAATACATACATACATACATAAAGTGAACGGTGCCCTAGAAAATTGCAACATGGCACCAAGAGTGCCACATCTCAATACCACCCTCCCTGCAATGCCCAGTGTGTCCCTTTCCCTGAGTCCTATCCCAGATGGATTAGGGAAGATCCCTCTTCTTGCCTTGACTCTCCCCAGGCAAGTGCAGCTCCTCTGACTCATGAGTCATCTTACCACTTTACCCCTCATAGCAACTCAATCAACACATTCACCTCCTAGTCTGCCCCTCAGTCAACACTCCCTGAATGTCTACAACATAGCAGATGAAGTCCTGATCCCTGCCAGGAAGAGAAAGAACCAAAGGCAGGCAAGGACTGGAAAGGGGGAAGCAGCCCTATCCTGAAGGCCAAGAGCAAGAACAGACAGGGACGTCCAGTCGAGTCACTGCTGAAAAGCCAGGCACGGTTTGGGGTTTTCTTGGTTGGTTTTGTTTTTTGCTTTATTTCCCCTATATGTCTCTCGGTCTTCTGACCTCTGTCTTCCTGAGGTCCTTGGTGACAGAGAATCTCAGCCCACGTGGGTGGGGCTCCGGCAGTGCTGCTGCTGGGAAGGAGAAATGAGGCTCCTCCAGGCCAAGCCACTTAAGGAGAAGCAGAGAGGGCCTGAGGACGGGTGACACTCACCCTCAGAGCAAATAGGGCAAGGGCGGCCCTGGGGATTTGGTGCTCCGCTGATGGAAGGGGACTCCGCTGGGGAGACGGGGATGGCCCTGGGCAGCCAGGCCAGGCAGCAGAGCCAGACACTGCCTAAGGCTGTTCGAGGCTCTCTCCCTGGCTCTCCAGGCACCAGCCCCAGTGTGAGGCTGAGGGCACGCTGTCTCCCGCCTGGGCATCGGGCTCTTTCCGTACTTCCACCCCTCTGGCTGCACTTACTGCAAATGCTCCTTGACATTCCTTTCCTCTCACTGCCTCAATTCTCTCTTGGCTTTGAAATGTCCTACTTCACAGCAACTGCCTCGTCAGCTGGAAGGAAACTCATCAGAATCACGCTTCCTGCATTACAGCCAAGGTATTATGTGTGTGTGCGTGAATGTGCGTGAATGTGCGTGTGAATGTGAGTGTGTGTGCCCATTCAAGCACAGCTATTCTGCAAGCTGCATTTTGTGTATGACATGTCAACCCAAATCAATCACACTTCTGTCTGGGAGTGTCATTTCGGGGGCAAAACATTGAATATTTGTTCCCATCACACACACACACACACACACACAAAGCAAGTCAGAATGTAAAGTGTATCCTGTGTGTTTGCCCTAACATACACTAGAAAGTGCTTTATGTAAAAAATGTGCCAGAGATTTCACAAGGTGAGGAGAGAAGGGGAGACGCGAACAAGTATGTCTTTAGCACCTCCTGTGTTTCAAGCTTTAGGCCCTGTATGAACGGGAGAGAAAGCCCAGGAGCAGAGGCAGAGAGGAGGGGAATTCTAGTTTATGAAGACATACGCAGGTTGGACGCAGTGGCTGATGCCCGTAATCCCAGTACTTTGGGAGGCCAAGGTGGGTGGATCGCTTGAGCAGCCTGGGCAACATGGCAAGACCCCATCACTAAAAAAAAAAAATTAGCCGAGCATGGTGGTGCAGGCCTGTAGTTTCAGCTACTCAGGAGGCTGAGGTAGGAATATGGCCTGAGCCCAACAGGTCAAGGCTGTAGTGAGCCATAAATGAGCCACCATACTCCAGCTTGGGTGACAGAGCAAGACCCTGTCTCAAAACAAAAGACATAAACATTTCTGCACAGAAAAACACAGTCTAAACCTCTTTAATAGAAAAGCTGGTAAGCGTGGGAAAACGCCCTGAAGAATCACCAGCCACCTAAGAGATCCCCAGAGAGGTGTCCCTAGGCCAGAGCCTTGCTGTAGCCAGTAAGACTTGGCTCAAGAGTCTGCTGAAGGACTGACCACCAAATTATTTCAACCCCCCTCAAGCCCAACAAAGCCCACAAGAGCTAGATGGCAGGGTGGGATCCGACGGCAGCTGGTCCTCAGAATAGCAACCCGATGGCGCCCAAGGGCTTTTAAAAACAGCTGCATGGTTACCTCAGCCTGGCTGTGAGCAGAGTGCAGGAGCTGTGGCCACACTTCCTGCCCATTGGGAGGACAAACGTATACATTCCCCAAGTCCCAGCTGGGGGCAGGGCTGTGGTGGGGAGGTGCAGAGACCGCAGACGGAATGATGTCATAGGCTACAGCTCACTCTGATGTCTGGGAGAGATGGCTGGGCTTACCCTGGAGGGTCCACTTCCAGCCAGCACCTCGGGCTGCCAACATTCCCACTGGCCATGGACTGTAAACCAGGTGGGCTTCCTGGAGTGTCATTAGGAGACACACACAGGTCCAAAGCCCTGCTCTGCCACCTACTAGCTGTGGGCCCTGGTCAAGCTGCATGACCTCTCTAAGCCTCTGTTTTCTTCCTGATAAAATAGGAATAGTATCACCTACTTCCAACCTTCCAAGCTGGTTGTAAGCATTACATGACCTAATGCAAAAGTAGGCAGCTTGGGACTTGGCATATGGTGCTCATTAAGTGTAAGCTGTGTTGGCCAGGCCCTGTGGCTCACGCCTTTGGGAGGCCATGGTGAGTGGATCACTTGAGGTCGGGAGTTTGAGACCAGCCTGGCCAACAGGGCGAAACCCCGTCTCTACTAAAAATACAAAAATCAGCTGGGCGTCGTGGCGGGCGCCTGTAATCCCAGCTACTCGGGAGGCTGAGGCAGGAGAATTGCTTAAACCTGGGAGGCGGAGATTGCAGTGATTGAACCACTGCACTCCAGCCTGGGTGTCAGAGCAATACTCCATCTCAAAAAAAGAAAAAAGAAAAGTGTAAGCTGTGTTATTACTCATCACCAATATATTGTCAGGGGTCTAGGCTGGGGAAACCTGAATGATCCATACTTTTCTGGAACTGGAAAACAGAATCAGCAGCAGCAGAGTCCCTGGACACTCAACTTGGGAGCTTCACATCATGAAGATACCTTCCCACCTTAATGGAGAGGATGAAAACGTTCACTGCTCCCTGGGGATGCATTGATGACAATGAGTTAATATCCTTAATTCATTATGAGTTCATGCAAAGTGACAAGAAAACTCTTTAGGCTTCAGTGAAACTAAAAATGGCCCCCAAAGGCGGAAGCAACCCGTGTCCATTGACAGATGAATGAATAAACAAAATGTGGCATCCCACGGAATATACAATGGTATACAATGGAACAGTATTCAGCCTTTAAAAGGAAAGACGTTTTGACACATGCTATCACATGGATGAAACCTGATGACATTTTGCTAAATGAAATAAGCCAGTCACAAAAGGACAAATATTGAATAATTCCTCTTACATAAGGTTCCTAGAGTAGTCAAAGTCATAGAGACACAAAGTAGAATGGTGGCTGCCAGGGGCTGGGGAGAGAGGGAAACGGAAAGTCAGTGTTAAATGGGTACAAGGTTTCAGTTAGGAAGATGAAAAACGTCTGGAGATGGATGGTGGTGACGGCTACACAACAATGTGAAGGTACTCAGTGCCACAGAGTTGTACACTTAAAAACGGTAAATTACATGATATATCTCTCTCTCCACAATTTTAAGAGCCATGAAAAGACAATTCACAAAACAAGAAAAGCAAATAGTAACCAAATATTTGAAGAAATTGTTTAAGTGCTGTAGTAATATAAGAAACGCAAATTAAAGCCACTGCAAAACATCATTTTCCACCCTTCCAGTTAGCAAAAACATGCTGAAATGCAGATACCCAATGCTGGTAAGGATGCTCTCCTACAGGACCGAGGCAAACATAAATTGGTACAACCTTTTTAGGAAAAGCCCAGGGCACATCCCTTTTTTCTGTTCGTGACTGGGGCCCGCAGAGTCCCTTCTCATGCTATTTTCCTGCCAGATTTCATCAATTGCTGTACTACCTGAAACTCCAGCTTTGATTGTCTGTGCCCTTCCCCTCAAGGGTTTCACCACCTGCTGCCTACATTAGCCCCACAGCCGTGGCCAGGCTGATGAAGGCAGAATCTAGAGGAAACAGATAGAAACCAACCTCTTCACACAGGCACTGTGCCTGTTTTCTAGGGGTGGAGGCCCCAGACAACTTGGGGGCTAGGGGACACAAGGAGGGAGTGGAGTGGACAGAAAGATGGTGTTCAAGAGAAAGAATAATGAAACAAACCACAGGCAAAGCTCTTGTGAGGAGCCTGTCTTCCACTCTGTTCTTGTGAAGCACAACTGACCTGTCGGTGATACGGACCGACACAGTTGTGTAACTGACATTGCCGTGCGGGAGAGAAGGGAAAGACCAGGAAAGGAGCCAGGGAGGCAGTAAGAACCCCAGGCACTAGGAATCTTTAACAAGAGCAAGGAGAATTCAAAACCTTTTGTCATCCCTACTCTGAAAACACTATGCAGGCACCAGACAGAAGAATCTTCTCTGGCAGCTTGGGAAGAGAAGCACAAAACAGCACCCGCGAGCCCAGGATGAGCCCCAGGCTCCTGCAACAGAGGCAGCCAGGAATCTGTGGGACAGAGGTGCAGGACAGACAGACAGACAGAAGGTTCTCAATCCAGGACTGGGGAGGGAAGGAGCTGCCCGCAAGAGCTGGCAGCGGGCAGGGATGGCCCTTGACTGCAGCCAGGTCTCTAGTACCAAATACTCCCGTGTCTTCATTCAGGTGAAACTCAGTCCTCTAAATGTGAATTATTTTCCAACTGGGAATCAACACGAGAGTAAGACACAAGAAGTGGGGTCTGCAAGAAACTGACTGCTGTTTCTTGCTGAATCCATCCTGGTTTTCTGCCCCAAGGAGAGTCTAGTTCCAGGCTGTTAAGAAAGAGGAGGATTGCCCTAGAATTTTCCTAGAATGTCCACTGTTTTTTTTGGGGGCTGGCCACTCTCTCTGAGCCTCGCTTCCCATCTGCTATTATCCTCCAACTGACTCTTGCTGTTTCCTTAAAGTCTCTCTGAAAAAATCCTGCCTCTGACCTGGTCAATTGCTATCTTCAGACCCAACAACCACCAGGGGAGAGGCCTGGAGTCACAAATTTAGAAGGAGGATCTCAAAGCAGGGGAATCCCTGCAAGGAGGGGACATCTGGACCCTTCAGGCAGAAGTTACCATGGCTGCTAAGGGAATGTCCTGTAGTCAAAGGAAGGGTCATTTAGTCCTCCATGCAGGTCCTTGAAAACCTCCCCCATCCACTTCTTTTGCTTCTTAGTCTATAGTCAATGGCCAAAAATGATTAATCCCCCTGAAGCCCACCAAGCTTTTACCACTGCTGCCACCCTACCACCCTTCTTCTGTACAAATTCCTCAGTAAGATATTGATTTGGTTGATGGAGAAAACGACTCGACCCCAGAGGAAAGAGTCTGCCAAGCTGAGCACAGGAACGATCCCCTAATCCCAGAGGAGTAGCCCCTGGAAAAGGGAGCTTTTGAGGCTCTTCCCATGTTAAGGCCTAGGCAGGGGTCAGAGCTTGGGGAATGTCGGGGCCAGGGGAGATACCATGATAGGATTGGGGATAGAGAACCAACCATTAAGATGCAATGTAAGAGAAATGTTAAGTTCTTTATATTTAGGGCCAAAAAGCTGACTGTCCACATTTGGGCTGGGGATTCCTGGTTTGGAAGCAATTTTCATGTGACCTTTTAGTTACTATGAAAAGTACAATATGATATGGCCACTGTATAAAAAAGGGAAGACTGGCCGGGCGCGGTGGCTCACACCTGTACTTTGGGAGGCCGAGGCGGGTGGATCATGAGGTCATGAGTTTAAGACCAGCCTGACCAATATGGTGAAACCCCGTCTTACTAAAAATACAAAAAATAGCGGGGTGTGGTGGCACATGCCTGTAATCCCAGCTACTCAGGAGGCTGAGGCAGGAGAATTGCTTGAACCCGGGAGGCGGAGTTTGCAGTGAAGCAAGATCACGCCACTGCACTCCAGCCTAGGCGACAGAGCAAGACTCCATCTCAAAAAAAAGGGAACACTTTCTTAAGAACACAGCATTCAGCTACAATAATGGAAAAATCAGGTACAGGTCTCAGGAAGTAGCAGTCTGTGTTCTAAACTGCTCAGACATGATTTAGAATACTGTGTTTCATATGTGCTTGCAAATGACTAATGACAAACTAGGAATTGTCTCAGAAGGAGGAGGGTGAGTTGGTCTGGGAATTATGACACATAGGAAAGGGCAAAAGACCAGGCGCGGTGGCTCATGCCTGTAATCCCACTACGTTGGGAAGCCAATGCAGGAGAATCGCTTGAGCCTAGAAGTTTGAGACCAGTCTGGGAAAAACAGTGAGACCTTGTCTCTACAAAAAAAAAATTTGTTTTAAGTTAGCCAGGTTGAGTGGTATGTGTCTGTAGTCCCAGCTACAATCAGGAGGCTGAGGTGGGAGGATTGCTTGAACCTGGGAGGTTGAGGCTGCAGTGAGCCATGATCACACACTGCACTCCAGCCTGGGTGACAGAGGAAGGCCTTGTTTCCAAAAAAAGAAAAAAGAAAAGGGCAAAAGGAGCTATCTGTGGACAAAGAAGGCTAAAGGAAGAAGCAGAAGCAGAATGATAGAAAAAGTCACAGTCCTGAGGGCTCATAGTCCAGCGGACCTCTAGCATCACACAGATCAGCATTAGCGACCTGGAGACTCACGGGTCATAACATCATGAGATTTTAGAGTTGGAAAGAACTTACAAAGTCTGCTCTATTCCCATTTTATAGATGAGAAAACTAAGGGCAGAGATTTTAAGTGAATGACCTCACTTAAGTGAGGCACAAGGGCTGGATGTCATACAAGCAAGACTAGGATTCAGTTCCTTGATGTTTACTCCAAGTCCCTTCCATCCTAAGAGCACTCTCTCATAACATTCAAGGGTGCTGTGAGTAGCAAAGGAAGTCGCCAATGCTCTGCCCTGATTCCAAAGGCAACACAATAATCAGTGATGAAATGTGATTTCGGGGTGGGAGGGTGCTGCGAGGAGGATTTATGGTTGGTCTATGAGCTTCCTAACAGTCAACTCTGGCCAGGCCTGAGATCAGCTGCCTGGGAAGCAGCAAGCTCCCCATTCCCAAGAGGTCTTCAGAAAGAGGAGGGGATTCTGTTGAGAGGTGGGAGACTGGTCTCTACAAATAGGAAAATTCCATGATTCCCACATAGAGAATGCACCCCCCCACCTGCCCCCATACATGGTTGGGGGAAGGATGAAAGCACAATTAGAGGCAGGGTTGGTGCTGGTGCTACTAAGGAAGGCAGCATGGGACAGTAGGAACAGGCGTGTTTTTCCTCGTGGTCACTTTTCTTCCAAGTTTAAGGGCTCTCGGCTCCTCACTGGAGGAAAAATTCAATTCTCAAGTCAGAACTGCAAACCAGGAACAAGGTTGTTCTCATGTTCAAGAACTCAGCAAGGGTAATTATGGTTGACACTAAAGCAGGCAAGATTCTAGCTGGGCACAATGAAGATCTCCTTGACCAGCAGAGTAACAGAACACTGTAACTGACTGCAGCAGTAAGTTTAGAGGCTCTGTCACTTCCCCAAGGATACACACAGCTTTCTGGCCTGCAGGCTCAGATGCTCAGCTGTCACCAGGCTGGGGACTCAACCAGATGGCCTTCCGGGTCTCAAGTCTGGCATTCCTAGACCTGCCCAGGAATCTTCTCAGCCGTACCAGCGTCCCCAGGGTCCAGGGGAAACCATCCGTCACGCTATAACCCCGAGGCTCGGCAGCATTTCTCCCCAGTTTGCATTTTGATGTTTCATATAACATATCTACTCCCACCAGGGGACATCTCCCTCCCTCGGTAACGATATCCTTAGCCACCAAACCCAAATGGCTCACTGGCTTCTCTCCAAGGCAAAAAGAGAGTTTCACTCCTCAGCCTCTTTTTCTATCCAGTGAGACTAATTCATCATGTGTACTGGAAAGTCCCTTTTAAGTCTCAGCCAAAAGTCTTTCTTTTTTCTTGGAGCCCAAATAAGCTGGGAAGAGAGAGAGAGAGTTCACTGTTTTGCAAGTTTCAGAGGTGAAAGGCACTGTCATAAAAAAAAAAGAAAAGAAAAAAAATTGGCAAAAAGTCTGGAAATGATTCACACTGAGAAGTCTGACTGGTTGATTTCAAATTCATTCACAGCTTAATAAATCATTTGCTGGGGGAAGAGGGGAGCAGAGGAGGAGCAAGACACTCTAAAGAGAACAAGCAGAGTGGGATCCCTGAGGTCTATGCATTCTTTGGCATCGCTGGTACCTGCTGGCTCTAGCTTTTGCTGAAGAAGGATGTATGTGGGGGTGAGTAAATAATAGAGTTTGGCTGGAGGTTCAAAGACACCTTGGCACAATCCAATTACATAGTCCCAGGATAGCAAGCCCACTACCTCTCCCTTCCGCATTTCTTAGGCTTCCAATCTAAACATCTCAATTAGAAAAGGGCTGGCAGGGAGGAATGGGGAGAGGAAGGAGTTTGTAGCAGGACCAGGAAAATGGAGATTGCCTCTATTTGCTATGTACAGGCTGAAACGGTCCCCTCTGTGCCTACCTACCCCCAGACCCCCAGCCCCGCCCTGGAAGCCACTGACCTTTGCCAAGAAGGTGGCGTTCCTGATGGCGCCCACCATTTCTCCCCCCTTAGGGTGCACCTTGGCCACGTGCATCCACATGCGCTCCCAGGTGTGGCTGTCGATGGGGAAGCCGCTCTTGTTAACGTGGAACAGCACCCCGCCGTCTTTGTCCTCCTCCTCCGAGCCCCCGCTGGTGGCGAGGCTCACGGGCCGCGCGTGGCTGCTCCGGGACCGGGTGCCTTTGGCGCCTTTGGGGTGGGGGCAGCGGTGAGTGTCGGCCGCGGAGCCGGTCATGGTGGGGCCTGGGCGGGGAGCGAAGTACTGGGGACGCGCGGCGGCGGCGGCGGCGGGGGGCGTGTGCGCGCGGGCGCGGCGCGGGGATCAGCGCCCCGCGGGGGCGGCCTTCTCCATGCCTCTTGCTGCGGCAGGACGCGCCAAGGGGGAGCGGCGGCGGGAGCTCCGCGGAGACTCCCTGCTTACCGGCGGTGCCTGAAATCAGCGGAGACACAGCTGACACCACAGCTAAGTGGACCCACAGAGGAACCGAGTAAGGGGCCCCGGAGTGTCTCCACGACAACCCCCGCTTCCCCCTGCACGCTGACAACCTCCCTGGGAATCGATGACGGGTTTCCAGCCCTGCTATTACCTAGAAAGGCAGCTCAAAATGTGCTACGAAGCTTCACACACATCTAAACCCCGGGGGTTGGGGATGGAGGGGCACAAGGAGCGTGGGGGATGCGGAGCGCAAGGTGTGGGGAGAAGAAAGACAGCTTGTGTAGCGTGAAGGAACAGGAGGTTCCCGCAAGGCTCCACACATTCCTAGGTCCCCAGATGTGGCCGAGAGAGGAGCGCAGCCACGAACGTGCCGGCACGTGAGCGCCCAGAGCTGGCGCGAGGGCGCTGCAGCAGCCTTGGCTTGCAAGGCGGCCCGCTTTCTTCCAGGAAGCCCTCCCGGACCCCGGCGGGGACCTAGTGGAAAGAGCTCCATCCGCCCCCTTTTCCCCGAGTTCCAGCGCCTAGCACCGGGAGGGACTGGTTGCAAGCGGGCGGAGCGCAGGAAGGGCGCGCGGCAGCTCCAGTATCCTACCTCGGGACGGTCGGCTTCATGGCTGCAGAGCCTCTCCGGGCGGCGGGACAGTGGGGGCTGCTGCTGCTGCTGCTGCTGCTGCTGCTGCTGCTGCTGGGCCTGGGACTGGGGCTGGGGCTGGGGCTGGGGCTGCTGGGGCTTGCTGCGGCCGTCGCCTCATTCCATGTCCCATTCTCGAATGTTATTCTGTGACATATAACCGAGTCACCCGGGCAGCCGCCGATGTTCCGAATGCGTCCATTGGCCACCGCAACAAAGAGGGGCGGGTCCTGGGCTCGGGACTCTACAACCTCGAGCTCCGCGACGTTCTGATTGGCTCCAGGGATTCCCTGGCGGGAGGGGACCGGAGTAGGGGGAGCCTGGCTGCCACGCGAAATCCGATCGCTGTCGTGTCCTGGGAGCCCCGCGGGCTGGAGCGTTTGGCCATGGGACTTAAGATCGAGTTACCCCAGGGGTCGTGGCACTTCGAGGGTTTGCAACTGTGGAAGCAGAGGAGAAACAAAACCACCCAAGAAGTGACCCCGCGGAAGCAGAGGGTTTGGCATCAGAACAGCATTCCCTGAGGGACGCTGGACACACTTACCTGCCTCTACCCGGGATGATGAGTGGTTCATCCTCTACCCGGGATTATGAGGGGCTGTTCATACCTACGCGTAAAATTAAATCTTTTTTCAATCCTGCATTTACAAATTCCTCAAAATTAACAAGTGGGTGCAGCTTTGGATCCTCTGGTATTAGTCACGGTTAATAAAGTCCCTTTAAGCCCAAGTTGAGAGGAGACAATAAAACCCAAGAGGTCAGGCAGGCCCTGACTGTTCTACCACAGCTGTCCAGTGAGAGGAGGGATGGAGAGATGCTTCCAAATCATGGTGAAGTGGGTGGCTATCCCACACTCACTACTGAAACGCCTTCTCTTTCTTTTTCTTTAAGAAAGAGGAGAGCAGGTTGAGGTGGGAAGAGCACCAGACTGCTGACCTGAAGTCTGGCTCCAAGTCCAGGTTTGTCACTTTGCTCAGCTGTGTGACCCTGGACAAGCCACTTCCCTGCTCTGCGCCTTAGCTTCTCTTTCTGAAAGGAGAGCAGACCTCCCGCCCTCCAGGGTCTGCTCTGGCTGTAAGGTTCTGTGATTCCCTGACTTCCTCTCTTGTGACACTGAGGATCCTGGCCATAGCATCCTTTCTCTTTAAACTGCAGGTCAGCAGGCCAGCTCTGAGCGAAGCAGTTATGAGAGCTATGCTAAGTGAACCTTGAATTAAGAAGACAGTTGTCAGAGAGCCACTGAGGGCGGATCAGTTTCTGAATGCTTACCCTGACAAGTTGCCTGTCATGGAACTGGAACTTCTCTTCCACAGGGGGGCAGAGACCCCCTGAAGGGTAGTTGAGAGCCAGGGCTTGGGTGAGAAGACCTGGATTCTGGACTTAGCCCTGCACTGCTCCCTGAGACAGAGTCTATGCCAAGGACTTTATAGATTCAATAATGAGAATAGGGCAGACACGGTGCCTCACACCTTTAAACCCAGCACTTTGGGAGAAAGAGGAGGAAGGATTACTTGAGGCCAGGAATTAGAGACTGGACGAACATCGCGAGACCTTGTCTCTACTAAATAAATAAATAAATATTTTGAAATTAGCCAGATGTGGTGGCACACGCCTGTAGTTCCGGCTGCTCAAAAGGCTGAAGCAGACCTGTAGAATGAAACTGGATCCTCGTCTCTTACCTTACACAAAAATCAACTCCAAATAGATCAAAGACTTAATTAAATCTAAGACCTGAAACCATAAAAATTCCAGAAGATAACATGAGAAAAACTCTTCTAGACGTTAGCTTAGGCAAAGAAATCATGACTAAGACCTCAAAAGCAAATGTAACAAAAATGAAAATAAATAAACAGGACCTAATTAAACTAAAAGGGGTCTGCACGGCAAAAGAAATAATCAGCAGAATAAACAGACAATCCACAGAGTGGGAGAAAATATTCACAAACTGTGCATCTGACAAAGGACCAGTATCCAGAATCTACAAGGAACTCAAACAGATCAGCCAGATAAAAACAACCTCATCAAAAAAATGGGCAAAGGACATGAATAGACAATTTTCAAAAGAGGATATACTGTCAACAAACATATGAAAAAAATGTTCAACATCACGAATTATCAGGGACATGCAAATTAAAACCACAAAAAGTTACCATCTTACTCTTGCAAGAATTGCCATAATTTAAAAGTAAAAAAAAATAGATGTTGGTATGGATGTGGCAAAAAGGGAACATGTCTAAAACTGCTGGTGAGAATGTAAACTAGTACAACCACTATGGAAAACAGTATGGAGATTCCTTAAGGAACTAGAAGTAGAGCTAAAACTACCATTCGATCCATCAATCCCACTGCAGGGTATCTACCCAAAGGAAAAGAAGTCATTATATGAAAAAGACACGTGCACACGTGTGTTTATAGCAGCACAATTTGTAATTGCAAAAATATGGGACCAACCTAAGTGCCCATCAACTAATGACTGGATAAAGAAAATGTGGTATATATACACCATGGAATACTAACTACTCAGCCATAAAAAGGAATGAAATAATGTCTTTTGCAGCAACTTGGATGAAGCTAGAGGCCATTATTCTAAGTGAAGTAACTCAGGAATGGAAATCCAACACCAAATATTTTTATTTATAAGTAGGAACTAAGCTATGGGAATGCAAAGACATAAGAATGATATAATAGACTTTGGGAACTTGGTAGGGGGAGCGACGAAGGGGAGGAGGAGGGCAGAGGATAAAAGACTACATATTGGGCCTGGTGGGGTGGCTCATGTCTGTAATCCCAGCACTTTGGGAGGCTGAGGTGGGTAGATCACCTGAGGTCAGGAGTTCGAGAACAGCCCGGCCAACATGGTGAAACCTGATCTCTACTAAAAATATAAAAATTAGCTGGGCGTGGTGGCACAGCACCTGTAATCCCAGCTACTTGGGAGACTGAGGCATGAGAATCACTTGAACCCAGGAGACGGAGGTTGCGGTGAGCTGAGATTGCACCACTGCACTCCAGTCTGGGCGACGGAGTGAGATTCGGTCTTAAAAAAAAAAAAAAAAAAAGGCTACATATTGGGTATAGTATACACTGCTCAGGTGATGGGTGCACCAAATTCCTAGAAATCACCACAAAAGAACTTATCCATGTAACCAGAAACCACGTGTACCTCCAAAACTATTGAAATTAAAATTAAATTTTTTTTAAAAGCTGAGGTGAGAGGATTGCTTGAACCTAGGAGTTCAATCACACCACTGCACTCTAGCCTGGTTGGCAGAGTGAAACTCCATTTCTAAAAGTAAAACAAAAATAAATAATGGGAATAATACCTTAGGTTCATAGAGACAAAGGAAATGGGCCAATTCATGAAATTGACTCATTTGTCTGCAAGAAGAACACCTGGAAAGAAAAAGCAAGAAGTGAAAGAAAATTATCCCCTCACTATATAATTGCCTCAGTTTTCATTTCCTGATTAACAGAAAACATGCCTCAGAGACTGATCTATTTTCTCATCTTGAACATTCTTCCTCCCTTCTTTTTGCATTCACCTCTCAAATCCACCCTTTTCTCCACATTTCCCGGGAGTTTCAAGTCCAGGAGACTAGAATTTCAGGATGTGGACCTGTATGCAGAGAATGAGGATTTGACCTGACAGTCCCTCTGGAGAAAACTGAGCTCTCAAATCTCAGGTGAACAGACCAGTTGGTGAACATCGAAGAATGGCAAGGGTCATCTTCTTTGGAATCACTTCCCAGTGTCCCCACTCAGGTCAAGTCCAAGCTCCTACAGTTACCCTGTTAAGCCGGAGCCTGCATCCTGCTTTACCTGAATTAAAGTCCTGGGGACCTGAGAGGGTTATCAGTTCATCTTCCTGCCTCCAGGCACCTCAGGACTCCCTGACAGTTGAAGGGAAGAGCTTTTGCTGTTCACCTCCGATATTCCAATTGTCTTTTCTTCTCTTCCCTAGCAGTGGGATGGCGTGGAGAGACAAGTGGCATGGCACATGAATATAGTCAGGAGATTTTGCTGCTTCTCCGAAGAGCTGGTAAGGAAGCTTCTGAAGTGAACTGTGCTGTCTCAGCACGGGCATTGTCGGGCAGAAGGGCTCTCTTCTTCAGAATTGCTTCTCATTGGACAGTTGCACTAGGCTGCATGGGCAGGCCAACTTTGTTCTTCATTTCCTTGTGTATTTTGTGTTATATGACACTCCAGTGAACCCAGGCCAGTTAGATTAAGGATTTTGAATGTTCTGATAGTTAGTAAGACTGACACAGCCACATATACACACAGTGGGACAAGGCCAATTTGCAGTTTGAACAAGGACTTGGTGACTGGATTCTCAGCCTCTGAGAGAAGGGCCACTTGTATT